TATTTTTTTCCAAGTGAATATACTGTTACCGTTATTTATTTACTCATCAACAATTGTTTCAATTGCTCATTTCGTTCCAAGTATATACATTATATACATATTATGCTTGGTCATGATGCTACCAATTTTCTATTGTACACGTGGTATTTGGTGTTAGTATATTTGATTCGTTTAAAACCGAATTTAAACACTTTTTTTTAAAATTTAAATAAACAACTTCTTGGTAGTATCGATCGGGTTGTCAAAACTCCAGGTCAAGTTTATCGTCATTATTTTTTTTTACCTTGCTCTTGTTTCGATATGGTTCAAACAAAAATTTGCTCATTACTAGAATTAATAGATTAACACACCCATACACATACACATAATTACCTAAACGCAATTTCGTTTCATACAAACCATAAAAAGCCAACTAACTACAATACTCTGGAAAAAGTTCATATTCCGCGGGGATCGCACTCACTATATTGCCTCATGGTATTGCGAGACTCTCTTCAAATTCAATATTGAATTTTTTTTTTTATAAAATGACAACATCTTTAAAACACACCAAAATTTAAGTATTTACAGTATTTTTGTGAAATAAATCACTACTATTACTGCAAACAAAACCACCAATTGTCATGTCATTCATATAATCAAGTAGTGTGTGCTAGTGAAACACTGAATTTTTGAAAAAAAATAAAATATAATGCATAAAACTTCATTTAGCCATATAACAAATTCAATCGATATTTTACTCACAAAAAAAAACCATTTTGCTAATTTATTAATTGATAACCGTGCACACATTTTTTTTTTATTCTCTCCTTCTATTGTTATTGGGATTGGGTGTTAGTTAGTGAAAGCGACCGTGGGTGCTGTGTGCAGAGAGATACATTGAAAATGAATTCACATGGGTCCCATCGGAATAGTTGAACAAAAATTAATATAATGAAGCCGCACAATGTTTTATTTTCTCTTTTATTCCATCGCAGCATTTAAAGCAAACCGTAAAAAGAGCCATCTTGCATACATAGTGTGGTCTGTGTGGTTGTTAGTCTATTTCAAATTAAATTCTATGAATCAATTTTCATGCCATTTTTCTTGTTAGTTTTTCTTCTGAATTTGCAATTGGATAGAGAAATTGCCACTCCATAGGCATTATAACATCGTGTAAATCGACTGTCTCTGTATAAATATGTGAATGTGTGTGTATGCGCGCGCGAGAAGAGGAAATCTGGAAAAAGAGAAAGAATCCATCGAATGATTCGCACTATCCCAGTTGAAAGTGTAGCAAAATGAAAAAGAACTGTGCTGGAGAGCCGATGTAATGCAGCGCAAAAACAATGATGAGAGAGAAAAGATAAAAGAGGCGACTTCATTCTTTTTTTTTGTCGTCATGTCAATTTGACTTGAAGTGAAGACACAGAAGCATAGCAGCAAAAAAAAGAGAAGAAAAAAGCAACAGCAAGAAATGAACAAGAAAAAAATCAACAACAACAACAACAACAAAAGAGAACGTGAAACTCAGATGAATCTCATGCAATGTAACTACTTGTGTTTGATCCATTTTGAATTGATGAGCCGTACACCATTCTTTCGGGTTCATAAAAGAAAGAAGACCTTCATTCATTTGATACGCTAGGCAATTTCATTCACTGATCCGCTTTCAATCAGTTTTGCAGTCAGTTCCATTGTTTTTAACAATCGAAATGATTTGCGATTGAAGAGGACACAGAGAGAGAGCATTGAAAATTCAATTAAAATTAAATCACATTCTATATCACACACATGTATGAGTTTTAAAAATTAACCGCTTTGTATACATACGTCCCGTTCTATTGGGCATACACGCTGAATAAGCGAGATTATAGCACGATTTCTTATACTATAAGATCATTTTAAAAGTGGTTTTCGCTAGATAATCTCAGTTAATCAAAACATTTCATTTAAGTTTAAATGATATTATCGTTTTCTTACCTTTTTCCATGAATAGCTGTACTGTTAATTCTTTTCTTTTTTGCTTAGATCTTTACTTCTTTACCTATTACGCTTGCTTGTGACGTACACACCATATATTTAAAACCTAGTTTTTAGTTGTTTCTCTACTCAATTCTTTATGGTATTCGACCGACCCAGTACAAGTCTGTTAAACGCATTGTCACATTGATTTATTCTACGCAACGTTACAATAGTTCTTTATCAAACACATACGAGACGATTTGAAAATTTCTTTACTTTTTTAAATAAGAAATGAAAAGTTGCACAAATCCAAATGCCATTGATTCAAATCAATCGCGATATAAGCAATTCAATAGATACGTCGGGTACACTTGGAGTACACTTCTCCTTCTTTATGGATTCTAATCTTCTTCGCGTACAATATAAATATGCGTTTTGATTCACATTTGATGTAGACACTAGGTAGCTGACTAATTAAGTTCTAGCGCTAATGATTCACATTGCAATACGAGCGAAATTCTTCTCTCAGACTTCTTAATGTCTCATGTCTCATCTCTCTCTCTCTTTCTCTTTCTCCCGTGCTCTCGTACATTGAAAAATGCGTTCATCAGAATCATAAATACATTGCCAGAAGGGAAATTAGATTCCATCATGCAATAAGATTTATAAAAACAGATGCCAATTAGAATAGATAATTCATATAAAAACAACACGTCTATTCTTATAATGACATTGTGAGCTTTAATTCAATTTTCCGGCTTTGTTATAAAAAACGATGAGAAAAAACGCAGAAAAACTCGATGAAACATTAATTGATAATTCGGTGATAGCAATTAACTAATCCGGTCTGTGTATGTCATTATAAATCAAACGGTGACCTAGCGTATTGACGTTTTCAAATCATTTTTTTCTTTCTCATTCTATATAGCATAGCTCCGGTTGATTTTCCACTTTTATTCCAATTGACCTCTGATTTGCATAGAATATAAATTTTAAATTTCTGGTTTTTGCTGTAGTGACAGTGTAGGTACACTGCGTAAGTGCGCCATTTAACAGAATTTCTTGACGGGTTGGCATTTTGGCGACATTTCTAAAAGCAACAAGTGAACACTTAAGCACATCAGCATGAACAGTATTGGAATTATTATTTTAAAGATCTTTGAACTGTGCGATAATAAAGCAGAATTAACCGCAAATTCAAAACATACATCATCGAAACACAAACACCTCCATTGTTGCTAACAACTTGCTACCGTCAGCAAACAACCCATCAAATGTTGTCTCGTTGGATACAATAAACATACTGTTCTCAAAATGATAACTCATTGACGAATTGGATGCATGAGCGGTCAAATAAATATATATAATTTACGTTATTAGAACGATTGAGGATCAATTTGGTATATTCATCTGACCAGACACATTGCGAATAAGCCCATTGAGAATGGATGGAAGCAGAGAGTCCATAATAAACGGATTCATGTTTAAAGAACCATAAAATGAATTGAAATTGAAAAATTTCTCGAAATCAAATATTTGCAAAAACATACCGACATAGATACAAATATTACTGTTCTAATTACGGTTAAATTAAATTAAATTGCATCGAATTAAAGTTTAAATTTTCCACACGTAACGAATTATTATTTGCCTCAATTTACATAATGCGAAACGTGATATTCTTGACGCTTCGTTATTTCATTGGATGTATTATATGATCGTATTATATATGGTGTGATATCGGTGAAAATGATTTTTAGCACATTGAGCCGGATTTTTTTTTTCAAATTTGTTTTCAACACTATTTGTAGATAATGAAAAAAATATATATGCAGGAATCCCTGTGATTTTGGTATTATTACAAAAAAAAACGGTTTTTGTTTTGCCATTACTTCAATTGAATTTACATATGAAAAAGAGTGTTCTCAATGCAATATACGTGAAGTATATTCACGCATCGATGATGATAAATTGTTTGAATTTTCTTTCATAAGTAACCATCGAACAGCGCCAAATCATCGAACCGATAAGTGTAGCGGGTCATTTCAAAGCATATACTCATTTTATTATCATATTTTTGAAGAGAATTCAGTAATTCGGGCGGAAAAAGTGACATATGAGAATAATTATTATATGAATTTATTTTATGCGGCACCTAATACAATCCACACACACACACTCGCTCACTCAAATGGCCCTTTTTCACGTGAATGCATCGAAGCGAAACCTCGGAGTTCAGTTGAACAAAAACAAAATTCCATGAGAAACAACTCATTTCTATACATTACCACTAGAATTAATTCGCTTCTTTGTGCGGCTTTGGTATTTGTAAATATTTTTGCTGCAAACATTGAATACTTAGCTAATGATAAGTTGAAAAAATGAAACAAAAACAACAAATTTCCCATTTTATAAATTCTTTTATGAAATGCCTGTTTTCTAAAGTCTTTTGTTTATGAACGAACACAAATTTTTGCATAAAATCTATGGAGATTTCGCATTAATTCTCAACTGTTCCTATAGGATATTATAATTCTATTTATACAGAACATCTAACTTGTTTCAAATGACTGAATGACAGTCATCATCATATATTTTTTTGTTTCAGTTCTTGCAAATAGTTAAACTAAAACTATGGCCTATGACGAAAAAAATTGCACATACAATTATTATTATTTATGGCCTCAGCATACATCAAGTCAAGTTATTAAATGTTCGATTTATCTTTTTATTGTTCCATAAAAGAGATGTATCCACTCAATCAATGTGTTCAACACGTGGAATTTTATGTCGAAAGAAAATTACAAAAGTTCATTCAATACAATCAACAAAATGTCATTCAATGAAACTCAATTAAGATTCTCAATTTGAGAAATTTCAATTAAATTCATTTACATATGATGTTGAGTGACATTTTTTGTTTTTCAATTTGATTTGCTTGCATTGATTTCATACGGCTTCCAATTGGAATGTAAAACTAACTTGTTTCAAAACTGAATACAATTCATCATTTGCATATTGCTCCAATTATATTTTTCATTTTGTTCTCGTTTCAGATATCTGATTCAAACATTCCATACGAAGGTTGGATTGAAATAACTCATTGAGTTTCCGTCAAAGAGAAACCAGGTGCCCAATACGGCAAATTTGACTAGTGTCTTTTTCAAATGATTGATGGTAAGTGTTTTTGGTCGGAAATTAATTTGAATTTTGATTATAATGTGAAGATTTATTTTATTTTGAAATATCCTCAAACCGTTATGAATCCATAGAAAACCAAGCAAAACACATGCATTGATATAGATTGACTAACGTATTGCTTATCTAATCGCACTAAATATTTATCGATTATTTTGGATGGAAGTTTTACGCACGACGTTCAAAACCGTGCACTTTTATTACTTTTCCGGAGCAAAAGGTAATGGATTTTGATGAAAAAAATCAACAACGCAAACAGTTTTTTTTGTGTTATTTGACCAAGATAGTCGAACAGTTTTGTAATGTGAGTGGTGCACGGTACTCAGTACACAAAAATTTATTAACACGATAACCAAATAAATTAATATTTAAAAAAAATTTTTATTTGAACTTTTGGAATTGCATTAAAAACAATATTTGTTGAAGTAGGTTGTAAGTGGCAACCTTTGAATAAATTTGACCCAAAAGTTGTCACATAAAGCGCAAATGTTGTCGACAACTCTTCGTTTAAAATAGTATGCATTAAAATATTTTTGATCAAAACATTATTAAATATTTGTGATTTGCGAATACGAAAACAATTGAGAACAAATATTGTATGCAAAAATTTAAAAAAACAATGCCTGCGGAAAAGTTCGACTCACAAATGTACGATTTATTTTAGTTAAAACCAAAAAAATCTCCGCTGATGCCATCGATTTTTCATACATATTCAAAAAAATGTTGGCACAGAATTTTCGACGGATTTTTTTTTGTCTGACAAAAGAAAAAAAAAACTGTTATAAAATCGTTCAAGATGAAATCCCATAAATTTTCAATCAATGCGCCGTCGGGAAGATAAACAGGCAAAACGCTGATCGCCACTGAACAAAACAGAAAACTATATAATTTGTACACACAGAGAACAAGCTATATGTGTGGAGATTGTGTGTCGCCAAAATGAGAATTGTTCGCCGCAATTTTCCGTTTATTTTCCATCCTCTGTGGGTATCCACACTGGTGTCGACAGCCAAACTATATAGAAAGTTTTGGCTATTGATACATTTTGCCTTGAACAAAATGATTTACTATAAAAGTGTACATAAAAGTTTTATAGAATTATTTTTTTTTTGGTGTAAAATATACACAGTTGGTGTTAATAATCATTAAAAATTCAGTGTCGACAAGAAATTATCTTTCAAAACACTCATATTGACAATAACAAGTATTTTTCGCTTAATTGGAAAATGACAGGGCAGTCTTGTGTGTAAAACACACATACAAAAAGTCACATGTAATTTATAATTCAAAAACTTTGCAAATATCTGTCATCAATTTTCGTTTGTCAGATGATTTGTTCACTCCCGTGGTCAGAATAATTATATCATCAGATGTTAGCCAAACAATAGGAAAAAAACCGAATAATTTTAGTACTTTCAATATATAATTGGTATCATATATGACACAGTCGATAAACAGCAATGTAATCAAAAGATATGTATGTAGAGACTGAATTTACAGATCAACGTGTCGCTGCGACATTAAGTCATTTCGTCATGCTCTTACACTCATTATTTGGTGACAAATGAACAATACACAAACGAGCACATGACGATGCATAAATACATATATTTGTGTGTGATTTTATTAAGTCAACAACACATAATATATAATGAATGAAAATTGAGTTATCACTTGTCTAACCGTAAACAGTTGAATATACAATGATCCGTTTTCATTATCATTTCAATACTCAGCATGCGAATATGTGCAATGTGTTCCTTTTTTGTCGGTTTGCTTGGCAAACATCATATGCATGCGAAATATTTCCATTAGTATATATTGATCGATTTCGAAACACTTTTCGAAAAAAAAAAAAAAAAATAGAGGATGAAATCAATAAAGTCGTCTTATGTCAATTGAAGTGCAATATAAGAGTCAATTGTCATCAACAATTTAAATAGAATGAATTCATCAATCAAATAATATGTATAACACATGCATAAATACATCCATATATTTTTCCTATAAATTCTCAACTTTTGTCAATTAATTTGAAGTTTTTACTATCTATCCTATCATATAGGTGCTACAGATTTATCACGATGAAAATGGGGCTGACAGCATCGCCTGTATTCAGTTTACGGCGGCGAGGATGCTTACTCATATTGGGTTTTTGCGTTATGATTCCTTTCACTTTAATGATGCTGTTCATTGGACCGGGTAAGAAATCAAAACTATAATACCAATGTGAACTGTGTAACAACAGCAAACACGTTACATTTGAAAAATTGTGTGCAAACAAAATATTTTAGGTCATTCGTTTGTGTGCGCGTTCGTAAATCTTGTTTGGAAAAACAAAAAATAAAAATTCTTTGTATATCGATGATGAGAAAGTTGTACACGTACATGTTAGAGCTAACTTCAATAAAAAAAATATATCTCAAAATGCATGCCTCTCTTGTTTCGTCTCTATGGTATATTACCTATTACCTAGATTGAAGATTTGTGTGTGCTTTTACAGACTGCGCAAATCATGCGCGCATCGCCTAGATTCTCGTTAACAGATTAAATTCCATTCGATTTAAGCTGTTGCATCGACTTGATTATATTCCTATGACGTCGAATCGGGGTCGAATATTTACCGGATTCGAATTTAACGAATGCTTGAATACGGAATACAACAAGAATAGCACAAAAGAGAAACAAAAAACCCTTTTGCAAAAATGTGCGAACGCAAAGAGGCAAGAGAAAGAGAGCAACACATTGAGAATTTGTATCTAAAACATGAATTTGAGTTTGAATAAAAGGTCAACGTTAATTCATTCCTTAATTTTTTTTTTTTTTTTTTTTTTTTTTTTTGAATCACGGATAAAGCAAATGTCATGTTTGTTGATAGTTGACACGACGAACAAAAGACCGCATTAAGAATGGAAAAACAAAACATAAAGATGTAGCCATAGTACAACAAACTGGTTAGAATTAGGTTGTAAATGTGTGATAATGAAAATCAGCATTTGTTCGTCTTCAGTGTGTTTTCATTTTGTCTCCTCTATCCAACAATTGGTTTACTGTATATTATAAACGCAATTGCATGTGTACGATGGAATGTAAAGATGGCATGTCACGACTATATTTTATATTTTACACAGATTACACATTGTGTGTGGTAAACGATTACCGAATGAACCGCATGCACGAGAAAATGCTATTATCAATAAAAAAAATTAGCCTTAAATTACCTGAATCGATGATGATGATGCATACAATCACTACTGTGTGTAACTTCTTCTGGTAAAAACTCGTCTGCGCTAAATATTCTTGTTTTTATGCCATGAATCTCTCGATAGAATTATATACACTTTGGCACGCATTCTGTTACAGAATTTCTGTATCACATGCAATGGACAAATGTTTTGTGTCCAAGATCATCTAGATAGGAATAAATTAAGCATGCCTCTCTGTTAAAACGGTTATTCAAGTGTGGATTCCCACTTTTTCTTTCTCATTCCATCTCACCCAATCTCTCGTTCTCTCTCTCTCTCTCATAATTCATCAAATGTTTTTCACCATCTCAATAAGAAATACGTCGATGTCACGCCAGCTATTGCCGCTAGTATATAAACACAAACGCGTACCACCGATTTATCGTACAAATACGCATATGAATTCATCATTAAATCTCTCTCTTGCAATCTCGTATTGTGAAGTACACACCAAACTATTCATTCATATTTAGACCAAACATAAATGCTATATATTTGACAATTACTTGCTAATCTTCATGTACTTGGCAATTATTGACAGGAATATTGAAGCCAGTTTTTGTCTTCTCTGTCTTTTTTAAAGGTTTCATGGTATGAGAAAGCAAAATTCGGCGTGTTAGTTTTGCGATAAATTAATTTTCAAAAAAAAATGTTGAAAAATGTGAATTTTTGTATGATAGCCATGTATGATATCGGAATGATGTGAAACTTTGCAATGGTTGAAAAGATTTTTTCACAGACTATTTTTCACAGGTTAATTTTCCCGACGCCCAAGAAATTATTACTTCCTTTATTATCGATACACCCTAGTGCGGGAGTTAAGACAATTCACGACTATCAAAAGAAAAATAAAAGAAAATTTTATCAATAGATTTGATATACAGTCGGAACCAACAGCATGGATTTGACAACAAATCCTCAATGTAAATGTCGGAGTGCAATTGTCATTTCAATCGTTTAAAGCGACGTTGACATTCGCTACGGAAATAGAATAATTTATAGTTGTTAAACAACAATGAAAAGTTAATTCAACCATTTCAATTGAATTTTCTTCTAGATTTATCCGGTGAATTGACGATGTCACAGCGTTTGGCTGAATTTCAAATTCGTCTTCAATATCTGGAATCGATGTATCGATCACGACAAGAGGATGTTGCAATTTTATCACAATATATAAGTATACCGTCGCCAAACAATGACGGCACAAATATTACAATCACCGGACCATTGTTAGATGCATTAAGTCCCGAAACACGGTCAATGCTTCGCAATATGAGTGCTGCACCGAGATTTCCCACCAGCCTACGTTTACCAACTGCATTTCATTTTTTACCTCATCTTTTGGACGATCCAAGTAAGTTATAATTGAATTTATTCGAGGCTTTTTTTTTCCTACAAATCATTTTAGAAAGCAGATTTCGTACCAAGTGTACGTATTTAAAAATTGTCTTTCATAAATCGAACTGTGTTTTTGTAATTTTTGTAATCAATAGGTTCATTACGACCGGCTTTTCTTTTGTCACGTGGTGGTCGTCAAGGTGTGTCAATTGTGCTGGGGGTGCCCACCGTCAAACGTGACAAACAATCGTATTTAATGGGTACTTTACACAATCTCATTACGAATATGGAAGAAGAAGAGCAAAACGAAACAATGATTGTGGTATTTGTTGGTGAAACCGATATTGAATATGTGCAGCTAATTGCCAAACAAATCGAAGTTCGTTTTTCGCAATATGTCGAAGGTGGTCTAATTGAAGTGCTAAGTCCACCGCCGTCATATTATCCAAACATGGACAAACTAAAAATCACATTGAATGATCCACCGGAGCGTGTGAAATGGCGCTCGAAACAAAATTTAGATTTCTCCTTTTTAATGGCCTACGCTCTAAATAAAGCTACATTTTATGTGCAACTCGAAGATGACATTCTTGCAAAGCGCGGTTTCATAACAATTATGAAAAATTTTGCTTTAGACAAAACGATACGGCGCGAACAATGGTTTGTTTTAGATTTTTGTCAGCTGGGTTTTATTGGTAAATTATTTAAGTCGGCCGAACTTCCTTGGTTGATTACATTCTTTCAAATGTTCTACAACGATAAGCCTGTTGATTGGCTACTTGAACATTTGATTTACACAAAAGTTTGTAATTGGGAAAAGGACCAGGTAATCGAATACATTGAGTTTTGTTTCTGAATTTTCATTTACTTAATACTATTATCTTCTCTCATTTTTCGAACGCACAGAAACATTGTAAATTAGAAAAAGCAAAATTGTGGCAACATTATAAGCCATCACTTTTTCAACATATTGGCACGACATCATCGTTGCGTGGCAAAGTGCAAAAATTAAAAGACAAACAATTTGGTAAAATTCCCTCATTTTTTCCACATACCAATCCACCGGCGACCATAAAAAGCCCGATAAATCCATACAAAAGCCACACAATAGCTAGAGCTTATCTAGGTATCTAAACGATTTTTTTTTGCGATTCCTTTTTTCTGCAGATTTATTTATTTTTATTCAAATTATTTTAGGGCAAACATTTTTTTGGGGCCTTCTCCCGCAACCGGGCGATTTAGTTCAATTCATTTTTCATCAACCGTTTAATTTGAGAAGGTATGTGTTATAACAAGTACATCGTTTCAAATTGTCTCATTGATCAATGATTACTTGTGCTTGATAGGTATCTCTTTCGAAGTGGTAATAGTGAGCATCCAAGTGATCGATTTTATAATACCACCGTGGAGATTTTGCCCGCCGCATTGCCCGAAAATTCATACATATGGAGTGCCTATAATTCAACGGCAGATGGATTCTTAATCATTGGAAACTTTAACGAATTTGGCATTGCCGAAGGAACGATTGAAGCGAAAATTGGAAAAATCAAAGAGATTCGATTACATGTACACACTGACAGTGAAAATTGGGCAATTCTCAGTGAAGTACGTAATAAACGGGTTTTAATAATTGTACATTTTTCATGAAATTTAATTTCTCTCATTTTAGATTCACTTACAAGATGTCTCGGTGTCTCGATGATCGTATTGAATGTTTACACTTCATGTTAAATTCATGTACAATTATAGTATTGGTGTTAATTTCATGTGAAACTCATGTCTAGGGTGATAATACGAAGCCATTCGTAAAATAATGGAATATTTCCCTGTATACGCACACACATTACACTCAGAAAAGCTGACGTTGGACCTCTATGCTACATGCATTGCAAACTTCACATAGATCTCAAAATTAACACTCGAACAGTTCATAGAAAATGGTTCAAAATTCAAATATCACATCTCAGAAACATCAAAGAAATAGAAATGCATTTGCACCGATGCACTTAAAAAAGTAGATGTATGATAGACATTTTCAATATCTGTATGAGTAAAATCTCCCTAGAAAATTAACATCATTTGCTGAATGCTGCGTATCAAATCATCTTGGATCGCTTGTCTTGTGGGTAGCGCGAAGGTAAAAAAAAAACCTTATAGCAGCGCCAAAATTAACATTTGAACATGGAACAGGATATTCAATAAAAAAAAACGAGATAAATAAGTTTAAAGAAAATTTAAAAAAGAACCCAAACTGTGATACGAAAAAAGAAAGAATTGAGAGAATTTGTTTACTTTAACTGTATTTAAGTTATATTTTTATTACTTGACATAATATGTACGATGATAATTTTCATTTTCTTCTTAAATTTTGTAAATATTGATCAACCATTATATTGATTAGATAAAAAACATGAATGTTACGCTTAAAACAATCGAAAAGCAAATTTTCATTTTCGGAAACTGTTAATAATACGTACTGTATATGAATACATTGATTTTCACTAAACAAGTTAAGTTCTGCTTCTTGCAAATTCGAGCCATTATTCTCCGATATGCGTTGCAAAACTAAAAAATGCTTCTGTTCTCATGTGTACAGACTTCATTTTCCTATTGAATCGACACCTTTGTACAAATGATTAAAAAAACACATAATATACACACATTCTGCCATTGCAAACGTTAGACAACCTGTTATATACACATATTTTCAACATACAAAAAATTGATTAGTCTGCTCATGTCTGATCGAGAAATTGGTATGTATGGCAATGTGTTGTCGTCTCCCGTTTCCATATAAGCAAAACTGATCAAAGGAATTGAATTTATCTCATCTAAACACCGATCAAATCTCGGTTTCAACATTCACACGATCCAAAATAGCTGAAATCTTCGTTTTCTACTGATTTTAAAATCATTTTTTTTCTTCTTTTAAAATTCGAAAACTCGGGAACAAATTTGATTTGCCAGAAAGAAAATTTGAAATCTGAGTGAAAACTACAATGAAAATATTATGGAAATGAATCTGTTCTAATATGAATTCTTGGTTCCATTTAATTAAATACTTAAACAAAAAACAATAAAACTGGTTTTAATGATTTCGCAGTTGTCAATTTTTATCCCATTTGCACATTCCGCTGTTCCATTTACACTCTGTCATTGTTACGATTATGTTTTTACGATCATCGTTCTTATTTTTATATCAAATTGAAGTGACACAACTGACAACCACTTAAAAATGCATTATAAAATAAATGTTATTCATATTCAACGCCAAAATAGATCATACACATATACTCTCAGAAAACTCAGATGTTAAAATTCAAAGTAATCAGAGCAAA